AACAAAAACAAAAACAAAAACAAAACCCAGACAATATTACTAAATATTATTAAGTTATAATCAAAAGTATCTTTTGTATTTGCAGTTATGAGACAAAATGTGACTCTCATAGTCATTTGATTTCTTGGAATTCCTTGTGTAATGAAGATTTTATGACACTGGGTGATCAAAACAGAATAATTTTAAACCTTACACTCCTAATCAGAAATAGAATTATTTTTCTATTCTAACTTCATGGATGTAGAAAAAGGAATTCTTTGGCCTGACTCTTTTGTAAAGTATTCATCTTCCCAAACCATAAGAAACAAAAACTTATCTAAATTTTGAACATCTTGAAGGGCTGCAATTAGAGAGGGTAACTATTATGTTTGGAGTGTAGTCACCCTTATTCTTTATTTTCTTTTGCCCCAGGAATGCTCCTAACTCTTCATGTATTTGCAGGAACGTATTCATTCCTGTCTTTGCCTTTTCTTTTTTACACTATAAACAACTTCAACTCTTTTGGGTGGAATTTCCACTTTCTTTCACTTGACTAACGTGTTTTTGTTTCTGGATCCTGTCAGGTTTCTTCATATTGCCTTTTAATTTGGGAGATTTAAAACTGGAACAAAATTCTGACAAAGGCTCTTCAAACTTCATCGTTAGCCAAATTATTATTCATGTAGGGAGGTTGAAACTTAGGTTAAATTATTTTTCTGTGGAACCATAATAAGGACTTTTATGACCCATAGACTTTTGTTGATATGTTGACAGAATAGAAATTACATGGATTTGTTTTAGGACAGGAAGGGCTCCTCACCACGGCATGGCTGCTCTTTTTTTATCAAGCTAAATTCACAATGCAGTTGGAATTTTGAGGCATTCTGTGGACATCAGAATATGCTGGATTTATCTAATCTTTGCATTTTTTTTGACTGTGTGCAATGTTTTCGGTCATTCACCAATTTAGCTTGTAGACATTTTGGAGGGCCCTCCTATGTGTCAGATACCGTCATCCGCTCAACTTCTCTGCTGTGTGGGCCAGCGGATCATAGGAGGTCATTGTTTGCAACTTCTGAACACGGCACAAGATTTCTAAATCACCCACACACCGGAGGGATGTGCCTTGTTTGTCCTTGCCAGGCCCCAGGAAGAGGGACATCAAGCAGAAATAAAGGCTTTTCTGAGGATAAGAGAAGAGTAAGAAAAAAACTCTTCTCTTTAGGAGCTCTAATTCTCATCGGAGATAATGTAAAATCACAACAGTACAACATAATATTAATCACACTGTAAGAGATGTATGTACAATGAAAGACAGACTGGAGAGGAGAACGTGTTTATTCTAAGTCAAGGACACCGAAGATGTAGCTATGTTCTCTCTTTGCTTCTTGCCTGAAGAAGAACATATAATAGATGCAAGTGATATCTACATTTTTACATCAGCAGTTCTACCATATTAACATGTTTTTGTCATTCCTTACCTTCCTGGGAGAAGTCTCTGAGGTTCCATTGTGAAGGGGGAAAGAACTGAGGCTGAGAGAACTGAGTATATATTTAAGTAGCAAATCCACTACAAAGTTTTTCTTCTTGCATTGCACAAGCTTATGGAAGCAGAGGCTAATGTATGTAGGTGTTAGGATTTATTTTCTTTCTTTCCCCAGCGATTATATTGATGGTGAACTATCTTGGTCTGAGTAGTATAGCTGTAGGCGCCGTAAAAATGCCCGGATGGATGGCTAACAGTTCAATTAAGAGGTCTTAACCCAGCCTCTTATAGGCAAACCCTATCTATTTTAGGTTTAAATTTCTGCTCATAAATTTTTTAAAAACCAAAAGAAACATTGCTTTTGAAGGTTAGGTGGAAGTCTAAGCTTCCTTAAAGAAAAAGCAAATCTCTAGATGGGAAAAAAAAATTGATCATCTTAATGTACTTCCACACAATAGAATTTCTAACTCCATTGTTCAGACATACTTTAATAGTCTCTTTATTGTAATACACGAACCTTTTGGCTTTCAACCAGGGAACCAGAGAAACTCCCTGCCACAGTGGGCTCAGGTCAAAGACAGGCATCTGATTCTATGTAGGCTGTTCAGGATGTTTTCTGGGGCCTCTTTTACAAGTGGTGGGAGTCAATTGATCATGTGGTAATTGTCATAAAAAGTAAGACATAAGTTACCTTGGCTTCTGACAAGTCTCTACTAAGTATATACAAGAGAAAAGCAAATTAATTGTTGACCTTTTTAACAGTGTTTTAGTGTAAATGCTTAAGAAATAAGTCTTTGATTTGTATGAGTTAGATATGGGTAGAAATTCATTTGTAATTCTGGTCATCTGGTTGGCTCCATACTTAACACCCTCAGTGACCTTTTGCAACACCAAAAAAATGTGTCTGCGCTTCCTCAGCATAGACTAGCACCAAGCCTGGGGAGTTTTGCTCCTTCTTGGTTCAAAAAGGAAATTGTATTAAAAATACCATTGAAATAATTACTCAAGTTTTTAGATTTTCTTGTTGATCTTTGACTTCTCCTATTCCTTACTAGGATGGCATGTTTTAATAGGCAGTCCTTGATAGATAGCAACGACTCCAGCTTTTGACTAAAACTAGAGAAATTAAATTCGGTTTTCAGTTTAGCTAAATGCCTCCTCTCTGAGGCTCACGAGAACACCGCGGCCCCTTGCAGACCAACGCTGAGCATTTTCTTGCCACTCAGTTCCTTGCTGTTGGTTTGCTTATTTTTCTGTGGCTTGGAATTCTAAACTTTCTTTGAACATACCTACTATTCATCTTTTATTGCTGTTCATGCTTCCTATAATTATGCTGTATTTCTGTGAAGGTAGGGTGGCAAACCAAATGTAAACAAAAAGTGAAAAGAGCAAAGAAGTCCACTTTCAGATTATTAAAAAATATATATATTTGCAAGTTCTTTTTATCCCTTATTTGCCTGAATAGAAATAAAGATCAGAATAGCTAGCTATTACATATCTAAATTAATTGAAATTAAAAACGTTCAAATAACAAAGGAAAATGTTTTCCATTTGTTCTTGGAGAAGTGATTGAGCATAAAAATATTACATCTAGAAGAAGAGCATTGGCTAAGCTCACATATGGAAACATGTTTGCTAGAACTATTCCAAAAAAAATGTTGTATTTAGCAAAATTTTATGTATCTGTTTTGGGACACGATCAAGAAAAATGTTAACTTCTCCTAAAACAAAATTTTCTATTTTTTTAAATTACTGTGACAGATATTAGTAGCTTAAGATTTCCCAGAACAAAAATAATGGAGGTAGGTCTTTCTACTGAAATGTGTTGAATTACTTCTCAAAAGATTTAATCTATAATTTTTAACAGCAAAATTGTAGGATCTTTCCTTAGAAAATATAATTTTTGTTATAAATGTAACTTAATTCTTGTAGTCAAAATTTCAAATATAGTTCAGTATAAATTTGTTTGCATTTTCCATTTTAATGTGGACTTTTTATTTAATTGTATAGTTTATTCTTAATGATTTCTCTAAAGATTTTTGACATATAATGTATTTTGTTTTTGTCTTCACTATGGCAATTGTTACAAAACAATGAAAGCTGGTACTTTACCAGACTTAAGTAAAAAAAGTCACCTTTTCACATCTTTTGTTATTGGAACCTTTGGGTCAATGTAGAATTTTTGCTATAGTTACCAGGTTAAGATTATCTGAAAAATTTTACATAGATGTGTTCTTTATAGTACTTTCCTAAAATTAAGTTCTTCATTTACTTAAAAGTAGAGAGTAGTTTTAAGTAATAAATTAGCATTTTGGGACCTAAGGTTACTAGTAGTGCTACTTTTTTCTGCAATATTCCCAAGAAAGTGATAGTGATGCTCTAAATCCGTTGTAATAGAAGTAGTATTTTCAATTTAATCATAGTTAAGTGTCATGACCTTTTGACCGTGCATTGAACTTGTTGCTGAAATGCGGTCAGATTTCAGACAACTAATGCTAACCCCGTGAAGTCAAGGTGAAGTTAGGCTCTAGGCTTTCTGCAGATATAGAGATTTTTCTAGAGAATTTTTTGGATTTGTTTGCTTTTTAAATACTGTAAATAGTTTCAAATCTCGGAAAATACTTTACATAAAAAAATTTCCTCTTGAAACATGTGCCTGATTTTTTTTTCCTAAGAAAGTGTATCATAAATACACTTGCTTCTAATTCTGCACAATTTTTTTGATCTAGCTTAATTTTATCTAATTTTAAAATGAAATGTTTCCTTATTTTTAATTATCCCATTTAGAGATTAAATTAATTGATTCATGGTTTTTCTTTGAGAATCCGGTTATGTTTTTTAAATAAAAAATTTAGTTCTATAAAGGTATGCAAGGACCCGTTTTTGCTAACAAGTACCTTTAGATTTCCCTAATGCATCAGTTCAAGAGAAAAATAACACGTGTAAAGTGGGAGGAACTGGTCCCTTTGGAAAGACTTCTTTGAGCCATCTAGTTATTTCAAGGAAATGTGCTAGAATATTAGAACTCTAGTATTTGATGGTGTTAGTCTGCGTAGTCTGTTGCTGCAGTACAGAGCTAAATATCAACAGAACTTGTTACTGTTGTTTGGGTTGCTTTTATATACCAGTTTCAAAATATGTTTTGACACTTTATTATGTTCCGAATCAAGCTTCAGATGTGTGTAATGAAGGATGAAGTCTTTATCAGGCTCTAGCGTATAAATAAAGGGGGAGAGCAATTTGGAAATGGTCTCTTTGTAAGACACTAGCCTCTAAGGAGATGCAAGGGATGATCTGGCACCAAGCGAATGCCGCTGGAGGTGGAAACAGCTGAGTATCCTTGCTCAAGGCTCAGGCGGTGGCTGCCTCTTCTTCTCTTTTCTCTTTCCATCATTTCTTCTTTCATTTGTCATGTCATTTCTGTAACTGTCTCACTTTTACTTTACAGGTTGAACCTTTTGAGAAAGTCTGGCACCTCTGATCCACTTTCCTTCACAGACCCTATAATTTTTGGCTGTATTTTTATGTTTTTCAGATTCAAGTCAATCTGAAAGTCCCAGCCAGCCAAGTGATGCTGACATTAAGGACCAGCCAGAAAATGGTAAGTGTAGCTGCTGCACTCAGAGTCCAGAGCAGCCAGTTTGAGTGCAAGGATTTTGGGGTCCGCCCTGTGGGGCAGCCCATGTTAGGAACATCTTCAAAGATGCAAGAGAAAACTCGGAGTAGATTTCTCTTACATGGGCAAGAGCTTTGTTTTCTGCATCACCCCAGCAGTCTCCACCACCCCCAACACTATCTGGGTACTCATGAGAACCTAATTCCTGTGAGAATTGATTACCTAATTAAACCATGAGGGGTGGGATTGAAATTAGATTATTTTATAGGATAATAAAGGAACCATGGAATTTTCCTTTCTTTCGAGTTCCTTTTCAAGTGGTAACTGCCCCATCATCCTCTTCACTAGTTATTTAAGAACATTCATTGAGGGAACCAGCAATTAGCGTAATGGCTATGTCGCTGGACTCCCACGTAGTCGACCATGATTCGCGTCCCGGACCTGGTGGCTTAAAACTCACGCCGGGCGTGTGTGCGTGCGTGTCCAAGATCCCGAGAGGAGAATGGAGGAGAAGGGATTGCGGCGTGACCATCCCCCCTGGGGGGTGATTTCTCGCTTTCTGTCTCTATGTCTCTCTCTGTCTGTCTGGCGAGCGCACATGCCCTATGGCAAAAACCTCCCCCCCCCGCCCCCAAAAAAAGAACATTCATTGACAAGTACTTTCAAGGCCTTTTTGGAACTCAACCATCTGCTAACTGTTTTAAGAAAATCCTCACCTTTTTGTGTGTGTGTTTGTTTTGTTTTCGTTTTTGATTAGACTCACCAGAGAGAGAGAAAGTGAAAGCATCCCCCAGTGGGGTCTGGTTACTCTGCAACCCTTTTCCTTCACTTCTCCATCCTGTCAGGATTTGGGCCATATACACGTATGCACCTTGCTCATCTCTCAGACCTCTGGGGCTTGAATTCCAACCATGGTTGGCCATGTGGGATTCAGTTCCCAATGTGCAGTGCTATGCAGCTGCCTTTAAAAGATTTCTCTGCTTTAAATTGTCTAAAATAAAGCAGCGAGGGCAGATTAGTATTACATTCCTCAATTACATTTATAAAATTTCTGTTGTAGAAACTCTATTAAAATATAATTAACAGGGTCAGCTTTGTGGCCTGATTGTTAAGGCAACCAGATCCCATGTAGCTGACATGCAGTTCAAGTCCCAGCCCCAGAGGCTTGAGAAACAACCCAGGCATGTGTGCATGCCAGACCAAAATCTTGAAAGGAGAGAGAAATGGAGAAGGGATCATGGCATGACCATCCCATGAGGGTGCTTTCTCCTCTCCCTTCTCTTTGTCTCTCTCTCTGGTGCATTCGTGTGACCTGTGACAAAAACAAAACAAAACAAAACAAGACAAACAAGCAAGCAAGAAAGCAAACAAACACACATTATATATGAATATAATAATGTCTGGTAAAAATACTACATTTGGGATGAGCATTCCAAAAATGAAGAAAGATTCCCATGATTGGAATTTCAGATTGAGTAAAGCAACCAGTTTCAATAAAAACAGTGTAGTAAACTAAAGTACTTATCATACACTGAACATCATGTTATGTTCTTTTATAGATATCATTTCATAAAACACTAAATGTCGTGAAACACTAAATGTTTTCTGTAGTGCCAGATCTGTATTCAAATTCTGCCTCTACTGTGTCTTACCTCTTCAATATTGAATAGGTTATTTAGTTTCTCAGGATATTAATTTATTCCTCTAAAATAGGTTAATAATATTACATACCTGTTGAAGAATTAAATAAGATAATATGTATAATACGTTCATCAGAGTATCTTTTGTAGTGTGTAGACAAAAAGAAATGTTTGGTGTGGTTCAGGATTGCTCTTATTAATTTTTCATCAATAAATCCTGTCCTATTTCAGTTTTCACCTACTTCTAATGGCATCAAACCTTGGTTCTCTCTTCCTTTTGTGGTTCTATACATTTTTTTTTTTTTTGGAGAGGTTTTTGCTGTAGGGCATGTGAGCTCGCCAGAAAGACAGAGACAGAGAGACAGAAAGCAAGAAATCACCCGCCCCCAGGGGGGCTAACCACACCACAATCCCTCTTGGGATCTTGGGCACGCATGCACATGCACCTGGCATGAGTTTAAGTCACCGGTCCAGGACTTAAACCACAGTCAGCTACATGGGAGTCCAGCGAAATAGCCATTATGCTAACTGCTGGTCCCCGTTGTTCTATACATTTTTACATTTTGATCTCCATGTAATGTTTTAAAGATAGGAAAGCTGAATTATGTTCACATTGTGGGGTGGGAGACTGTGTTTAACTCATTAGATAACCTACCACATATTTTTCAGAATTTATTTTATTTCCTAAGTCTGGAAAATTCTTTATTACATTGATAGACTCTAGTGTGAAATATGGATTGCCTATTCCTCTCTACATTCTTGTATTTTGGTGATATTTTCTTTATCAAAGTTGTCTTTTTAAAGCAAGTAATGAAAAATAAGAGAGAGGCTGCTGAAGGTTTGTTTTTAGTGTCATAAACAGTTACATCTTATTTTTTGTTGACATTTTGAAGAGTGATATTTATAGACTGGTTTCATTCTTTGTTTTCTACTTGATTTATAGGTGATACCCTAAGTGTTTCATTTTTTCCATATATTATGTTGGTATATAATCTCCCTGAATATGTGTCCAGAGATATTAATTTTTCTTTTCTTTTTTAAAAGATTTATTTATTTTTAATTTTATTTTTCCTCCTCCCCCTCCTCCTCTCCCTCCTCCTTCTCCTCTTCCTCCCGCCAGAGC